CACACACATGCATGACGTGTGTGTGTGTGTGTATGTGTGTGGGTGTGTGTTTATACTGTTGTTTCCAAGTCGACTCCCAACAGCTTGAATTTCGCACAAAATTAGGAATCAATCATTTGATGATTATTCACAGATGTAGTGAGGTAGACTTGTTCTCTTCCATCGCCGCTGCTTACCAGCTGTTGCTCATGGCCTGCTCCAGCTTGGCCTTGGCCACAGCCGCCGCAGCCGCAGCCGAGCTGGCGCTGAGCGGTCCCGTGCCTGCGGCAGCCACGCCCTGTTGCTTGCCAGCAGCAACGGCTGCAGCAGCAGCAGCGGCCGCTGCCGCCGCCAGCAGCGATGACGACGATGAGCTGGGCATAAAGTTGACACTGATGTTGATGGGATGCACCACGGGCATGCTGGTGTAGCTCTTCTCGAGCAGATCGACGCCATTGAGGTACGGCACCAGCGCATTGTAGTCCACATTGAGTGGCACGTAGTAGTTGCCCTGGCCGTGCAGCGCGAAGATGGGCACAGTGAACGAGTGCCGGGACGGCAGCGGCGCCGTTGTACTGCTCGGCGTGCTCAACTGGGCGCCAGCAGCAGCGCTGAGCTTGGCCAGCAGCGGACTAGAATTGGAATTGGTATTGTGCAGCTCCGACTTGATGTCCTTGATATCACTGAAGCTGAAGGAGGGCTTGTCGTCACGCCCCAGGCCCATGGGGCGTGCCGGATTGATGCTGCTCGCCTCACTGTGCGCGTCCAGCGGCAGATCCCCATTGCAGCCGGCTGCTGCGGCTGCCGCTGCCTCGGCCAGTTTTCGCTTCTTGGCCATGATGGGCGCTATCTCCGGCTCAGTGCCATCCTTGGAGTGTTCCGACAGCGCATGCAAATGCGAATGCTCGTTCTGCAGGTGCGGCGCGTGCTCGCTGCTCGTCTCCTCGTCGTGCAGCTCGTGCACGAAGCGCTCCTTGATGTGGTTCTTATACTTGTAGTTGTTGTTGTGCTCAATTTCGTGCGACGACTCCGAGTAGTTGCGCATCCTCGCGGACAACTGGCTGTCCGTGGTATGATGATTGTGGCCGAGGTGCGCGTGTTGCTGCAGCAGTGCATCCCGCGGCGGCGGCGAGTGCATGTTCGAGGTGTCCGTGTGCAGCATCGGCTCGTGCGAAGACTCAAAGTCCTGCTGGCTGCTGTCCGTGTGATGGTGAGGGGCCGTCGACGTAATCACCGCCGCCTGATGCGGCTGCTGGTGCGCAGCAATCGCTGCCGCCCCCACCGGCATCTTGGTCAGCGTGTGGCACGTGGACGTCGACGTCGTCGAGCTGGCCGCATTGCTGCTGGCAGTATTGGAGCCCGTTGAGTTGGTGGGTATATTATCGGCAGCGACGCCATTGACACTGCCATTGCCCGCAGCCAGCTTGGCCCCGCTCGGCCCCTCCATGCTGGCGCTCGACGATGTGCTGGCATTGGTCGCCGCGGCAGCAGCAGCGGCCGCCGCGGTCGCCTGCTGACTGCGATGCAGCTGGTTGAGATGATTGCGAAAGCTTAGATCCTTGACATCATTGTGATCGTTGCTGTGCTCCACATCCGAGGCGCCCAGCATATCGCGCAGATGGCACAGCGGCGGATGGTAGGCCTGATGGGGGCTGCCGCTGGAGGCGCTCACATTGTCCGGCATATGGCAGCTCCGGCTGGACTTGTAGCAGTCGGCTGGCAAAGAGAGAGATCAATTAACATACAGTTAAGGCCGAGAGAAACGGATTCGTGTACCTTTGAACACCTCGTCGATGTGCTCCTGCAGGCGGGCCAACAGGCGATAGCAAAAGTCCTGCATTTGACTATCGTAGAGGAACTTGGCCGCCTCCTTCATGCAGTCCATGTAGCCGCTGCGGTACTCGCTCTCCTTTTGCAGGATCTCGCTCTGCAGGTGCTTCAGATGCCGGATGGCCATCTCGATGATCTCGGTCTTCTCGATGCGGCCACGCCCCTTGCGTTGATACTGTGGCGGTATGAGGCGCGACAGGTCGGCCAGGCAGGAGTTCATGCGGTCGCGGCGACGCTTCTCAATGATCCGATGCGACAGAGGATCTTGCTGTTGGGGCAGACAAATTGGAGAACAATTAGAAGCAGCTCGACGAGTGCCTAAGCGACTAGTGAGTAAAAGATCATTGAGTTTCTGGACCATTATGCTAAATAATGAGTCTTTCTTTATATTTTAATTTTTCTTCTTTTTTTTTTTTTGGTTTTTATTTTCATCAAATTCACTAATTTGGAAATGGTTTTGTAATTTTTATTTTCTTTAAACGCTTGAGTACAATAAAAAAAGGTCAAAAGCGGCGGCCAACTTCTCGGGATGATGTGCGTGTGCGTTCAGTGTGAGTTGTAGGCGTGTGAGTTGTGGGCGTTGTCATCGACATCGACATCGCGGCCATTGCCAACCAACCATTACCAACCAATCATCAGTCATCGGTCATCGGTCACCAGTAATCAGTTACATAATGAGTACGAGCAATGAACTTGTTACTCGGGCGCTTTATCTTTTGATCCTTTGATCTTGTTTTCGAATTTGATTAGTGTCGCGATTAGTCGCTCTGAAATTGTAATATTTACCCTCGATGTTTTGTTACGGCGTCCGGTGGCATATTCAGCATCGTCCTCGCTGTATGCTGTTGCTGATGTTGAAAAATTTAAGCTAGATTCTGTGCAATAAGGAAAACTGGAGACTGCTGCTTCGCTATAATTCGTATGCGTTTTGTATCATATGCAAAAAGAAGTGGGAAGGATAAGAAACACAAATAAGTCCAAATCTTATTCAAAAGTTTGTCAAATTTTTGTTTTTTTGTTTTTTTTGTTTGTTTTTTTTTTTTTTTTTTTTTTTAAGCATTTTTTATCTTTGTTTTTTTAATGCATTTTTTAGGTTGCAAGTTGAAACTGACTTAGGAATATAGAGCGTAAGACTAATTAGGCTAAATATTATTATGTAGTTAAATTATGTGTGGTTCATTTTATTGTTGTGGTCAATTCTTTATTCGTTTCAAAATGAAGTAAAACTAAACAATAAACTAAGGCTGTAATTTGAAAGAAATAAGGAGAATTTGTTTATTAATCGAAATGTGAATACTCTCAGTCTGTCGCGCGTCGTCCCTCTCCCTCTATGTCTCTCATACTCTCCCTCTCTTACAGATATCTCAATATCTCATTTTGTCTTATTACGTTCCACAGTTGGTAGTCAACCAGCAGCTAATCCGAGAGTCCCCGATTCTGCACCCCAAGTAGTCGCTTGGCTAAAATCAGACGAGGCGATTTGTGTTGTTGTGTGTTGTAGTAAAAGAGGATAAAAG